TTCTTCTCTCTCTCTCTCTCTCTCTCTCTCTCTCTCTCTCTCTCTCTCTCTCTCCCCCATACAAAGAATTCTATATATTGAAGATACCCCAAGTTGGCATTTTGGCACACATGTACATTACAAAGTGACTCAAGCTAATTTGCATACTCCCCTCCCCCACCCACCTACGGCTTGGCTACTGCCAAATATTTCCTTTTCTATAGTGAGAACACTAACGGTCTCAGCAAACTTCTAGGGGACAGCACAGTATTGTTAACCTCAGTGACCTTGGTCTCCAGAGCCCCTCTGTGATGTGGAACTGAAACTTCCACCCTTTTGACCAGCATCTCCCATTGCCCCCTGGCCCAGCCCCCGGCAGCCACCACTGGACTCTCTTTCTGGGAGTGGAACTTTCTCAGATTTCACGTGGAAGTGAGGTAAGGCGCCGGATCTTTCCATGTCTGGCCTGTTTCTCTAATCTAATGTCCTCCAGGTTCTCCCCCCGGGGGCTGTCCCAGTGCAATTTCATTCTTGTAGGTAAATGAATAAAACTCCATGGTGTACCTATATCACATTTTCTTTATCCATTCTTCTGTTGATGGGCACTTAGATTGATTCCATAACTTTTTTTTTAAACCTGAGATATGCATTTTTAATGAATTTCTAATACAAGCAAGGTGGTATCAACATAAGTAAATAAATACATTGTGGATAGCTGAGTCCATAAATAAGTAAATAACCTGACTCCTTGAAATAGTGGCTGGAGATAAATAATGCTTACAAATTAATTATTTGAACAAATTAATATATAAATGCACTCCTTTGGAAAGCATTATAAAGGTTCATAACAAGAAATATTCAAATATAGTTTATAATTTATATATTTTAGTCAGTGATTCTATATACGTATATATGCATATATATATATGAACATGTATATAGACATACTTATTTATTGCATAGAACTGACTGAATTTAAATGTATTTCTAGTTGTTTCAACACACCATAATCATGTTAACATCTATGCAACATGACCAGTGAATATATAATTCCATAACTTTTTTTGAACAAAAGTCACATTCTATTTAGATTGAAGTAAACTATAAAAATCTGAGTTTCTTCACCAAAAATGACAGCAATATTTTCTGTATTATTTCTAGATAAACGCAAAATATTTTATTTTGTAGATTTTCCAGGTTTGGCTTATAAATCAAGACTGAAGGATACAGAAAATCATGTTTGTAAATGATTTTCTTTCCCCGGGAAGGACAATGGGCCCTGAGCCCCTACAATTTCCCTTATCTGTAATCGTTCCTCCTGTTGCTCAAGGCCTCTCTCCCTGC